GTGTGGCAAATGCTTCATTCTGAAGAAAAGCCTCATTGGACATCAGAGGATTCACACAAGGGAAAAATCTTACAAATGTAATGACTGTGGGAAAGTCTTCAGTTACCGCTCCAACCTTATAGCCCATCAGAGAATCCACACTGGTGAGAAGCCCTATGCATGTAATGAGTGTGGGAAGGGCTTTACTTATAATAGAAATCTTATTGAGCATCAAAGAATTCACAGTGGAGAAAAAACCTATGAATGTCATATATGTAGGAAAGTGCTTACCTCTAGTAGAAATCTTATGGTGCATCAAAGAATCCATACTGGAGAAAAACCTTATAAATGTAGTGAGTGTGGAAAAGACTTTAGTCAGAACAAAAACCTTGTTGTACATCAGAGAATGCACACTGGGGAAAAACCATATGAATGTGAAAAGTGTAGAAAATCTTTTACTTCTAAGAGGAATTTAGTTGGTCACCAGAGAATCCACACAGGAGAGAAACCATATGGGTGTAATGACTGTAGTAAAGTTTTTAGGCAAAGAAAAAACCTGACTGTACATCAGAAAATTCATACAGATGAAAAAAACTGGGAATGTGATGAGTCTGAAAAAGAATTCTCTCAGACTTCAAACCTTCATCTTCAACAAAAAATCCATTCTTTGGAGGATTTTAGGTCCTATTCTCTTGGGTCCAAATTCTCTTGGGTCCAAAATGCCAGTGAGTCCAAGATCAAGATTCAGAAAATCTAGTATTGTGTAAAATGGAATAGCATCCCTGCCTCTGTAAGTGACTGTTGGATAAATGGCAGCATATGGTTTTTATAAGGGAAAAAAGTCATGATTGACCCTTTTGTAGACAAATATGTTGCATGAGGCAGAAAGTTCATCTAGACTTTTAAGACTGTGAAAACATAAGCCAAATTCTAGTTAAAAGATACTCAGTTCCAAATCATTTCTTATGAACCTAGAAAAGGACCTTGAAGCACTTAAAGATTCTGAAGAAACTGAATTATGATTTATAAGATATAATGATGATGTTGTAAATGAAAACAAAAATATCTTTGGATTAAAAAGTGTATGTTTTGAAGATACGTATATATGGTACATCTTAAAGATAGTATCACTCTAGAGAATGTTTGTACAGACAGTGTGATTAAGACATACAAATCATGAAGTTGGGTGGGCAGGACTGCTCTTTGAGGACAATTTAAGTACACTGGATTTGGAATCTGAAAACCTAGGTTTGAATCCTGGCTCTTTCACTTACGAGCTCTGTGATGTTATTAAGTCAGTCTCTAAGTCTCAGTTTCTCTGTCAGTCAAATACTGGCATAACCCCTACTTCAGAGAATTGTTTTGAGCATTTCGTAAAAGGATCACGTGAAAGTACTTTATGAAATAATTTAATCGTCAATAAAGTTGGATAAAAGAGATGTGGTCAAAATCTGGAAAATGGCATAATGTAGTGTTTGTTCATCAAGTTAATACTAGGACTTCATGAACCTCAAAAGTTTAATTTTTATTGTAAGAGGAGGTATGGTGGATGGTTAACTTTGGAATTTAGTACTCTAAAAAAACTTTAAAAACAGCTTTTTAAATGTTTAATGGAGATAATACATAACATACCTAGTTTGTTTTTATGGAAAAAAAAATATTGGCTTACTAAATAATGTCTGACCATTAATTTGATGCCAAGAAAAAAGTTTATTTTTAAACCTTTGAATTTTAAACCTAGCAGATGTAGAGTGTCAAAATAGGACAGTCCTGTGTCACTTTCCTTGCTGATAGGGAAAAATCCTTAACCTCAACCCCAGGGCTGATTATCTCTGCAAGTGTCATTCTCACTTCTAATCAATATTTTGTTGGTGACATACAAATGGCTTGCTACTCAAGAAACAACATCCTATCCCAGCACTCAACTTACCACATAAGTTTTTTTACATAGCCAAGCTCTTCAAATCTCTGATTATACCAATTCAGAATCCATCTCTGAGTGGTCAGGCCCATTTACTCCCAGTGAACCAATCATTCATTCATTCTGTACCCTTTTGTACATTTGTAAACTTAATTCTTCATGTATTCTTGGTTTGGTAATTTTATGTTGTAATTCTCAGAACACCAGTTCTGTCACTGAAGTATAAATACCTTAATTTTGGGATTTTGTTTCCTGATACTTAGCAGCATTGCAGTGGTGTGTTAATTATAGTAAGTGTTATGAATTCAACCCCGAAGTTCTTTGAGGGCTGGTTCCTTTTTAGACTGAAAGGACCAAGAGTGAAAACTGGAAGGGGCCTGGGTTAAAAGTCTGAAGGCCGTAAGAGTCAGATTCTGCCACTTTTCCTTGGACGAATGGTTTCATTTCTTGGAGCCTTGGTTTCTTCATTTGTTAAACGGAAGACTATCTACCTCCCTAAGTTGTTATGGGGTAATGAATATGAAGATGCTTTATGTCCATACTGAAGAAAAATTACCCCAATTATGTAATAATCACATGTACTTTAACAATGGAGAGATCTGGCATTTACCTCTTAATCAGTTTAACAAAATGTAACATTGCTGAGACAAGTCACATCATGTGCCTCCCACCACATGTAATGCAATAAGCCAAAAGTATAACCTGAATTTATCAAGCTTCTTAGGCCTGATTGCTAGTTTACAGGAAATACAGGAGGCAAAGGAACAAGATAAAAGACATCATAAGAAACAAGTTCAGAATGTGGCATATTGTCTAGGAAAACCCCTGTGGGAATCTCCTGGTGGCCCTGTGGTGAGGCCTCTGCTTTCACTGCAGAGAGCGAACATTCAATCCTTAATTCAGTTGAGGAACTAAGATCCTGCAAAGTGGGCAGTGCATCCAAATAAAAAGCCACTGCACTATATTCTTCAAAGATGATGAAAAAGAGAAGGGGGTGATAATAATTGTTGATGCTGGGTGAGTATTGAGAGTTTACTGTACTACTTTTGTATATATATGAAATTTTCCATAATGAAAGATACAACAAGTGGAGGGGGGGTGGTTTAAAAGATACTAAAGAGCCATAAGATACTGAGCCAGGAATAGACTCACAAATGCCCAAATGATTTTTGACAGGTGCAAAAGCACTTCAGGAGAGAATGAATAGCTTTTCAACAAATGCTGCTGCAACAATTGCATAGACATATTCAAAAAGAAAAAATCAGTAAGACTAAGCAAAGAAATCTTAAACATATCAAAAGCATGCTGCAAAAAAGGAAAAAAGTGATAAATTGAACCTCATCAAAAAAATAATTTTCTCTGCAAAAGGCTCTAAAGAGGATGAAAAGGCATTACACACTGGGAGAAAGTGTTTGCAAATCATATATCCAACACAGAATTTGTATCTAGGCTAGATAATTCTCAAAACTCAGCAATAATAAATAGATCCAATTAGTATATGGGCAAAGGACATGAACAGGTTATTTTACCAAAGTATAGATTGGCAAGTGAAAAGATATTCAACATCATTAGCCACTAGGGAATTGCAAGATAATCTGTACAGCTATCAGAAGAGCTTTTAAATATTTTAACACCAAGTGCTGGCAAGGATGCAAAGGAACTGAATCTATTACATTGCCAGGAATGAGAAATAGTACAGCCACTGTGCTGGAATAATTTGGCAGTTTCTTATAAAACCAAACATTCATTTAACCATATCACCTAGTATTTGCACTCTGAGCATTCATCTCAAAAAAAATGAAAACTCCTGTTACACACACAAGCCTGTATGTGATTGTTAAAAGCAGTTTTATTAATAGTAATTTGTAATAACTCATCAAATATCCTTCAACAGGTATTTAAAAGAAACTGCAATATATCTATACCATGGAATACTTATTACTCTGCAGTAAAATTGAATGACCTATTGATATCTTCAGTGACTCAAATGTATTCCAAGAGAATTATGCTGAGTGAAAAAATCCAATCTCGAGAGGTCATATACTGTATGGTCACATTTATATAATACTCTAAAATAACAAAAGTACAGGGATGAAAAACCAGATTAGTGGTTGCCAGAGGTTGGGGATGGAGGGATGGAGCAGCAGAAGAGGGAGGGGTTACACTTGGGGATGTCTTGGTGTTGGAAGTATTGTGTATGTGAATTGTGATGGTGGTTCCACAGATCTACACGTGATAAAATGACAAGTACACACACATTGTACCAGTGTCAGTTTCCTGATTTTTATCTTAAATTATAATTATGTAAGATGTACCCATTGGTGGAAACCAGTTGAAAGTTATTATCTCTGCAACTCCTGTGAATCTGTAAATTCATACTAAAAAGCAAATCAAAACTAAACAGCCATACCAAATACAGTGTGTGAAACTGACTTGGAAAAACAATGAAGTCTATATTTTAGGACAATTGGAAATTTGAAAATGACTGATGATAGATGATATTAGGGAATTTTTGTTAATTTTCCTACCTGTAATGGTGGTATTGTTAGTGTTGAGATTATTATTATTAAAAGATACATATAGAAGTATTTGGAATGAGTATTTTGATGATTACAACTTTAAAAATGTTTCTCAGTATGTATAGAGAGAGAAGGCAAACGTTGTTTAGTTGTTCAGTAATGTCTGACTCTTGTGACTTCATGGGCTACAGAAGCCTACCTGGATCCTTTGTCCGTGGAATTCTGCAGGCAAGAATACTAGAGCGGATTGCCATTTCCTTCTCCAGGGGATATTTTGGATTTAGGGATCTAATCCTGTGCCCTGGAATGGCAGGCAGATTCTTTACCACTAAGCCACCAGGAAAGCCCAACGCAAAGAGAGTGAAGTGTTAGTTGTTGAGTACAGGCGTTCATTGTACCATTCTCTGTACGTTTGATATTTCCAAAAAAAACATTCAGGTCAAAATGATCAGGGCCTTCTACAGATGGATACTCTGTACCTTCAGGCTGCCGGCTGCGCGCCTCACTTCAGTGCTCTTGCCAGGCATAGGAATGCCCCTTGCCCTGAGGTTCAGGGTCCCCAGGCCACCTTCACTCTTCCTCTAAGCTTGTTCTTCCATCCCAGATCGGTAGCGAAATTGGACACCCAACGAGAAGACAGTACCTCCAAGATTCCTAGAGAGGCTGGTCTGGCGACTTGGGGAGCCGGAAGCCCATCCCCAGGCACTTCCTGTCCGGTCATTGTTCTCGTGCCGGTAGGCGCCGGGGTCCAGGCCATCCGCTTTCTGCTCCAGAGCTCGCAAGCTCCGGCCGTGCTTCTGCTCCGCGCACGGTGAGCGGGGGTGGCGTGGCCTGGGCGCGAACGTCGGGGGCGAGGGAGGGTCCATTCCAGGGGTATGCCCGCCTCGTCCTCCCTTCAGGGATCCCAGCACTGTCTGGCTGTCCCGGGGCGGCTCCGCGCCCCGCCACTTCGGAAACCCGCTGTTGCCTACCTACCGGGGGCCTAGCCCCGGTGTAGGTTGGACACCAACCGCCCCAGGGGCCCGGCTTATCCCAGGAACTGGGCTGTGTGGCTGCTGGAGGTGGAGGAGATGGGTTGCCACGGTTGGAAGTAGGGAAAGGACGTTGAAAGGAAGCCCATGATAGGAGACTGTAGGGCTGGAGGCCAGTTAGAGTATCAGCAGTCTGATGACAATATCCAAAGTAGGCAATCTTGTGTATACGCGGGTGAAACGAGTATTAAGGACCTTCCTCCCTGATAAAATTCAACTAGTCACGGAAAGAAGAATTCTTCAGAATTAAGTTTCGTTGCAGGACTGAAATATTGCACTGCTCAAGAGATTCAGTGTATGGAATAAGTTGCCAGTAAGTTAATGCAGAATAAAGTATATGATCACTTCAATAGTAGCAAAAGAGAACTTAATGAAATTTAGCACTTTTCCCCTAACACGTCTAAAGGGAAATAGGAAAATTTCAGTTTCTCCATAATCAGTTATAATGGTAGATTATTTTACTCACAGATTAAGAACAAAAAAATCTGTTGGCTTGGCTGTGATACTGGGGAACTGTTAGTTCATGGTGATATGATTTGTTTCAGTCCTTTTAGGAAGCAGTTTGACAATATATGTCACCTATAAAATCCTTTGGTTAGTAATCCCTCTTCTAAAGGAATAATTCAACAGCAGAAAAAACTTATTTGCGTGAAAAGAATCAAGAATTATTTTAAGAAAATAAACTGGAAACAAGGTTCTTTACTAAAGCAGTGATTAATAAATAGGGGCTGGTTTAGTAAATTATAATATAGGTATTATATAATACATAATATTGTATTTAAATTATGTATATTATAATATTTAGAGTACCGTGCCAGAAGGAGGTGACATTGTATGTACTTAACATTGAAACATCTACCATCTTAAGAGTGCTGCTTCGTCTCACAGAAAAGTTGAAAGAAATAGAAAAATATAAAAATCAAAGGAAGAGGACGTTAAAACCACTTGTGATTACATCACCCAGAGATAATCTCTCCTAGCATGTTGGTGTCTAGTGCTAAGTTGCTTCAGTTATGTCCAACTCTTTACGACCCCATGGACTGTAGCCCACCAGGCTCCTCTGTCCATGGGATTCTCCAGGCAAGAATACTAGAGTGGATTGTCATCCCCTCCTCCAGGGCATCTTCCTGACCCAGGGATTGAACCTGCATCTTTTATGTCTCCTGCATTGCCAGGTGGGTTCTTTACCACTAGTGCTACCTAGGAAGCACAGTTGGTGTCTAGACTGCCAGTCTTTTTCTTGAGAGTCTTTTGTTCATACTATTGTTCTTGGTGCTTAAAACAAACAAACAAAACAAAAAACTTTGCATTGTAATGACCCTTCTTTAAAAAAAACCATGGTGATAATTGTGAAAATATGCATCCCCTAAATTAGAAAGTTCAAGTCATAATTGTCAGTATCGTTGGAGGTTTTCCCTTAAAGTAAGTACCTTAAATTCTTCAGTATACAGTGATTATCTCTCTGGAGATGAGCTAGGGGTAATTTTTTTAAATCATTTACTGAATTTTTAAAGTTTTTATAATTATATTAACTGTATAATCAGGGGAAATCAATAAACATTACATAAGTGTTTGTAATGTGATCATTGTAGGGATAAATTGCTTATTTACAGTCCACCTCCTTCCATCCTGTTGAGGAACAGAGCAGACCCTGTGCTGTAGTGGCTGCTGCCTGCACACTGGTTCCCTGTGGTCTTAGTGGCATTCAGGCAAACCTCTGCTCTACTAACAGTGTTTTCTGATTTCCCAGTAGATACTACTCATCATGTCCCTGGGAGGAAACTCAGGAAGAAGCTTTTGAAACTTAAAGATTAGATGGGGCTTGACTTCTGCTGGGCAGTCCCCAGCCGTAGGAATTCTGCTGAGCAGAGACGATGACTGCAGAGTTGAGAGAGGCTGTGGCCCTGGCCCACTGGGGCCCAGTGACAGTGAAAAAAGAGGAAGAGGAGGAAGGCTTTTCGGGCCAGGCATCCAGCCAGCAAGTGCACTCTGAAAACATCAAAGTCTGGGCTCCTGGGGAGGCGCCTCAGACATGCCTCCCTGTGTCAGAACAGGAGGAAAAGGTAAGCAGTGGCCAGGGAGAAGGGAGGGAGGATGGTCCTAAAGATTGCACATGATTTCAGGAGGGACCCTGTCCCTCCGCTTCCACACCTAGAGTCTTGTTTCCTGGCGAGGGCTCTGGCCTTTAGTCTTTTGCAATTTAATTGAAACATACTATTCTATTGATGTTGACATTCAGTACTTTCTATAAACCAGTGCTTCTCAAACTGTGCTATAGTTTGCAATTACCTGGGGAGCTTTTTATAAAATCATGATACCTATGTCATATCTCATGTAAGTTAAATCAGAATCTCTGTGGAGGTGGGCCCCAGATCTCTGTATTTAAAAAACAAACAAACAAACAAACAAAACCACTCTTCCGGTGAGTCCAGGCATGATTTGATAACTCTTACTTGTACTTCTCAAATTAATATGCCTAAGAATCACCAGGGGTTGGGGTCAGGGGATATGGGGTCTTGTCAAAATGCAGATTCTGATTCAGGAGATCTGGGGTATTGATCAGAGACTGCAGTTTTCACACGCTCCCAGTGATGGTGATTCTGCTTGTCCACAGACCACGATTTGAGTCGTGAGGCTGTATGTTTTCAAACCTACACCTCACCATGACTAGCCCTATGAGGGCAGAGGTACCCCAAAGCCTCTCTGTAATAATATGACCAGAACCTTGCTTCTTTGATCTTTAGATCTAGAAAGATCTACTGTGAAAAATCTCCCCATGTGCTTTCTTGTCTTGTCATGCACTCACTGACAAGTTAAGCTTGGGCAGTGAGATGAAATCAAAGTGATAGGGGAAGAGATAGCAGGCTTGCCTCTCTGCCTGACTCACCTTGGGGATTAAGGAAGACTCTCTGGCTTCCTTTCCCCTTTTTTTTTAATAGTTGGTGTTTTTCTTTCTTTCTTTTTTATGGCCTCCAAGAATAGGTGCTTATGTTCTCATCCTCAAAGTTATGATCATATCACCTTCCACCGACAGTCTCCTTATAAACCCACCTGTGCCTGCTTGTTTCTAGGGGAAGAACGTGTTCTGGGACATGGCTGTAGTCCTGAAACCAACACAAGAGGCACCTGCTGCTTCAACCCCAGGCAGCTCTTCATTACCAGAGACTCTGGCCAAGAGCGAGCTACTGGACACTCATGGGAACATGGGATGTCTAGGTGAGGTCAATTCTCTGATTCAGAATCTGACTACTGAGGTTTCTCAAAATCTTTTCAGAGGCTGCTGGTCTGGTCTCCTAGCCTGAGCAACAGAGTACTGAGGTGTTGAAGGTGTCAGGGAGAGCTGGGCAGAGGAATACTGAAAGATGCCTGTGCATTTGTCACAGGAAATGGCTTGTTTTGCACACAGTTTCAAGACATCAGGCAAACACAGGTAAACTCCAACTTTAGCTTTTTTTAAAGAAATAATTTTACCTATTTATTTATTTTTGGCTGTGCTGGGTCTTCATTGCTGCAAAGGCAGTGGCTTCTCTATTGCAGATCACAGACTTTAGGGAGCTCGGGCTTCAATAGTTGTGGTTCCTGGGCTCTAGAGTGGCACATAGGCTTAGTTGGTCCTCGGCAAATGGGATCTTCCCGGATCAGGGGATCAAACATGCGTCTCCTACTTGGCCGGCAGATTCTTTACCACTGAGCCACCAGGGAAGTTCTCCAAATTTAACTTTTGATCGCATTCATTGTTCAGCAGGGTGCATATCTGTGCACACATGTAGACACATGTCCTCTCCCTGTGCATTGTTTTTGTTGTAGCTTGGTGAGCCTACAAGAGAAGCTAACTAAGATAAGAAGGGTCACCTTTTGTGGTGATTTTTTGAGGTGTTCTGTTTTCATAGGTCTTTGTGGACTTTCTAGAGAATTTTGAACATTTGTGTCAGCCATGATGATGTCCAAAGTCAGTCATGATGGCTGACTTACCACCTGGTTCTCCAAGCTGGGACTCAGGATATGCCTGGCTAGCAGTGGTGGAAGCTTGTGAAGTAGGGACATGTAACTGGGTCAAGTATGTGGTCACCATAAGTCCTGTGTTGTGGAAGCAGTCACTGCGTGCCTGCCAAGGCCCCTCTGGCACTGACATGCCATGAGTCTTCCTGGCCAGGGCTGTGCCTGAATATTCTGAACCCTCTCTCCTCCCTAGCCAGTTCCTCAAGCATTTGCAAACCAAGTCCCTTTCTTAAACCAGTGTTGTAGGGAAGGTTAGGATGGCCACCTTTCATATTCCTGTGTCCTCTTTAATTCCCCATACTATCAGTAACTTCTGTTTCCCATCTTTTGCTTTCTGTTCCCCATCTTTTGCTTTCTGTTCCAGTCCTTCTGGCACATTCCCCTGTATATCACTTCTTTTCTGTTTCCCTGCTTTATCAGACATTCATGGTCTGAACTCCCAACAGCTGCACCCCTCTACTAGGAATGGCCAATGTTTTCTAGTTTCCTTTTTTCGGCTGTGCTGGGTCTTTGTTGTAGCAAGTGGGCTGTGGGCTTTCACTAGTCGTGGTGCACCAGCTTCTCATTGTGGTGCAGGGGCTTTTCTTGTTGCAGAGCATGGGCTTAGTGGTTACCTCGAGGGCTTCTCTAGTTGCAGCATTTGGGCTCTCTAGTTGTGGTGCACAGTCTTAATTGCCCTGTGGCATGTGGGATCTTAGTTCCCCAACCAGGGATTGAACTTGTATCCTTTGCATTGGAAGACTGTTTCTTAACCACTGGACTACCAGGGAAGACTAGACCACTGTTTTCTTTCCCTGCTTTTCCCAGCCGGTACTCACCTTTCTGCCAGCCATTTCTGTCATTACAGGTAATGGCGAGAACACTGACCTCTAGCAGTTGAGAGGGGAACCCCAGTGTAGTTGCTTCCCTATCTCTGAGAACTCTTTGACCTTGAGCAAGTCCATTCTTTTTCTGAACCTCCATTTTCTGTTCTGTCAGCTGGGGTCTGTTCATTCTTTAAATACAAGATTTGTTGAGGACCTGCTTCCTGTGTGCCCAGCTCACGTATAGCAGTGAGTGAGAACAGCCTTGCACTTTTTTAGTGCCCATACACGTGAAGGGAGATACCTTCATCTTGATAATAAAATCGTATAGTATACATGAAAGTACTTTGGAAATTTTGATGCTAATGTCTGAGAGTTTTATTTACAGTTTGGTGTGTATTCATTAATATTGAATTTATTAAGGTTTATACATTAAGATGTAAAAAAAAATTTTTTTGTAAATTTTTTAACCATAGCACACAGCATGTGGGATCTTAGTTCCCTGACCAGGGATCAAACACTCACCCCCTGCATTGGAAGTGCAGAGTCTTAACCCCTGGACTGCCAGGGAAGTACTTAAAGTTTATATATTTAAAACAAATTTTTAAGCTTTTCAGTATAACTTGTTTTTATTTCCTTTGTATATCTGGAAAAATTCAGAAGATGGGGCTTCCATGGTGGCTCACTGGCAAAGAGTCTGCCTGCCAATGCAGGAGACACAGGTTCGATCTCTGATCCAGAAAGATCTCAGATGCCACGGAGCAGCTAAGGCCATATGCACTGTAACTATTGAGCCTGTGCTCTAGATCCTGGGAGCCACAGCTACTGAGCCTGGGCACCCTAGAGCCCATGCTCCAAAACAAGACAAGCCATGGCACTGAGAAACCTGAGCATCACAACTGGAGCGTAGCCCCCGCTTGTCACAACTAGAGAAAAGCCCAAACAGGAACAAAGACCTAGCATAGCCAAAAATAAATAAAAATTTTTTTTTAAAAAAAGAAAACAAAAAGTGGGGGGGGGGGGGGGGCGGAATTCTCTGGTGGTCCAGTGGTTAGAACTCCCCATTTCCACTGCTGAAAGCCCAGGTTTAATCACTGGTCAAGGAACTAAGATCCCAAAAGCCATGTGATGTGGCCAAAAAACAAAAAACCAGGAAAGGAAGAGTGAAGAGGCAGTAGGGGAAAAAGGTAACAAGGAGAGAGTAAGATAAGAAAGAAGAAAAGAAGATGTAAGAGCAGTTTTAAGCTACAGGGAGAAAAATGGAGTAGAGTTAAAAAAAAAAAAAAAAGAGAACAGTAGAAATAGATACAACCAAAAAAAGATTAGCTTTTCAGGGTTTTCTGTTGTCAAAGTCAGGGCTCTGTTGTATCCAGGGCTGAGCCATTCTCTTTCTCTGACATTGCCCTTCCTGAGTGACTGTGCTGGAGTTTCATTACTATGGTTGCATTGCCATGGTCTTAGCCAGAAACAAAACTCGACTGTCCTCCTTGCCCAGTATTGCTCTGTGCCTTAAAAATCCCAATGCCACCCACTCCATTCTTAGTTGAAGAGTTGCCCTGGTCTCTGCCAGTAGGGTGTCTGGATGCTGGATTCCCCTGTGCAGTTGCTCATGATCTGCAGCTCACAGCTGAACTCAACATACTTTCCCATCTTTATGAATTGACCATCCTATTCTTTTTCTAGGTCATAAAAATCTGAAACTTCCATTTTCTGTTTTTGTTTGTTTGTTTGATTCAGGTGCTGAAACCAAAAATCCACAGTTATTGGTTCCAAAAACTGAAATTTGTGATGAAGCAGAAAAACCCTTTATCGTTTCAGGAAGAATCCAGAAAGTTGACCCTCAAGGACCCAAGTTAGGAGAAGCCTGTGAAAATAGGAACATGTTAAAGAGGCAAAGAATAAAGAGGGAGCAGAAAGATTTTGGACAGGTGACAAGGAAGGACTGTCATCTCCCTGAAAACCTCAAAGAAGAGGAAGACCAGAAGTGTCCCAAATCTGAGGAGCGATACACCCTCAGTTCTGGCTCTGTTAAAAATCAGAAAAGCCAGCCTGGGCAGAAACCTTTTACATGCGGCGTGTGTGGGAAAGGCTTTAGCCAGAGTGCAAACCTCGTGGTGCATCAGCGAATCCACACTGGGGAGAAACCCTTCGAATGTCACCAGTGCGGGAAGGCCTTCATTCAGAGTGCAAACCTTGTTGTGCATCAGCGAATCCACACTGGACAGAAACCCTATGTTTGTTCAAAGTGTGGGAAAGCCTTCACCCAGAGTTCAAACCTGACTGTACATCAAAAAATCCACTCCTTAGAGAAAACCTTTAAGTGCAACGAATGTGAGAAAGCCTTCAGTTACAGCTCACAGCTTGCCCGGCATCAGAAGGTCCACATCACAGAAAAATGCTATGAATGTAACGAGTGTGGGAAAACATTTACTCGGAGCTCCAACCTCATCGTTCACCAGAGAATCCACACTGGGGAGAAGCCGTTCGCCTGTAATGACTGTGGCAAAGCCTTCACCCAGAGCGCCAATCTTATCGTGCATCAGCGAAGCCATACTGGGGAGAAGCCATATGAGTGCAAAGAGTGTGGAAAAGCCTTCAGTTGTTTTTCACACCTCATCGTGCACCAGAGAATTCACACCGCAGAGAAACCTTATGACTGCAGTGAGTGTGGGAAGGCCTTCAGTCAGCTCTCTTGCCTTATCGTGCACCAGAGGATTCACAGCGGGGACCTTCCGTACGTGTGCAATGAGTGTGGGAAGGCCTTCACATGCAGCTCGTACCTGCTTATTCATCAGAGGATCCATAACGGGGAGAAGCCATACACATGCAATGAGTGTGGCAAGTCCTTCCGGCAGAGGTCGAGCCTCACGGTGCACCAGAGAACCCACACGGGGGAGAAGCCCTACGAGTGTGCCAAGTGTGGTGCAGCCTTCATCTCCAACTCACACCTCATGCGCCACCACAGAACCCACCTCGTGGAGAGCACATAGAGGACAAGGGAGACCTCCAGGTGCCGATCGAAACCTCCCGCTCCCCAAGTCAGATGACACCTCTTGGCTGTTTCCTCCTCGGCGAAAATGAACCCTGCTCTGTCCTACAAAGTTACGGTTTTGGTCTTTCCTGGTGGTCCAGTGGTTAAGACTCAGCTTCCAATTTAGGGAGCATGGGTTTGATCCCTGGTCAGGGAAGTTCCATATGCTCTGTGGCCAAAAAAAAGAAAAAAAGCAACAGTTTTCAGGAGTGCAGCACAAAACACAAGGCAGACATTTCAGAGGCTAGTTTAAAGAAAATGAAAACAAAGGCCTCAAGGCAAGGATTTTGTTTTTAACGGTACTCCAAGTGATCATATTGTCTGAAGTGGGATGTGGCCTTCTTAGAAATGGGTCATACAGAGCTCCGTGATAAAGACCCTTCTGGGGAAAAGGATTTTTCACTTACTTTTGTTTTTGAAAACTCTTAATTTTCCTGGGCAACATGCAGGTTATTGGTGTGTCTGACTGATGGAATTCGAGAGCTTTAAACCTTGTGTTCTAGTATTTTGGGTTTAAGCAGTGACTCATGAAGGAAACCACTTGGGGTAGCAATTCACCAACAGCTCTCACCTATGAACATGATAAGTTTTCCATTCCGTGGGTAAAATTTTTTTTTGAAAATTAAAAAAAAAAAATCCAACTGTCTGCCACTCCTTAAATGGATGGAAGTAGGAACTGGTTGTTTCCCTCATGGTCTGCACCTCATGACAGTTGGATTGGTAAAGCTCTGGGGACTGCTAATGAGTCTCTTCTGATCATTTCCCAGCCTGCATGGCCAGTCACTTGAGGACGGATGGCGACTGCACAGCAGAGCCACCGACACTGCTGGGCTGTGTTCCTTTGAAAAGATCAACAAGTCTTCTAATAACAACCCTGGTTACCACTGCATTCCATTTGAGTGAGACACTGCTAACAGACCCCTTCCCAGATACAGGAGTCACAGAATAAAGCTGGAGGCATGCCCACTTTGGTCTCTTCCACCCAGGCCAGCCAGAGGGCTCAGCTTGGGCATCATTGTCACTTTCCAAATGATCTGGTCATTAGAAGAAATAATGGAGCCCTTGTACTTCTGAGAGGACCCAAGAGGAAAATGAACAGAGAGGGAGGGGGCAGAGTGGGATTCCTAAGGTCTTAATTTGTTTTTTTTTTTGGAAATTCAGAAGTATTGGCATATGAGAACTTTTAGGAGGAGGAAGAAACTGGCTAAGGTAAGATACCTTTGTTAGCATTTGAGCCTTTATTCCTGGAAAAACAGTTTCTACAACTATGCAATAGGTAGAGTCATGTAATAATATTGCCTTGTATTTATATAGAACCTGATTCCTTGTGTACCTTCTTGTGTAGAGTCATAATTCCTGGCACTTATATCGTGTTTTCACAGAGATCATTACCTTAATCCCTGTTAAACTGAAAGAGCTGTTTGTCCCCTTTATCTGAGAGAGGTCATTTAACCAAGACTAAGTAACAAGCCTGTGTTCAGACCCAAGTCCTAAATCCAGGTTCCCTTTGTTCTGCCATGTTCATTCCATGTCTTACACATGTAACCCCACCCAAATCTGTGGGAGAGTCTGAGAAAGGGGTAGATAGTCTCATTTTTAGGTGAAGAAGCAGAGCTGACAGATTTGGGGGTGTGCCTTAGAGTGACCAGCAAACAGCAAATTTAAGATAGGGTTTGAGTCTCTTCTCTTGATTTCTGGGTCTGTCTCCATCCTACTCTCAGCATGCAAGTATTTATTGTAAATGCTATACCTGGTGAAAGCACTTAAGGGCAGCTCTTGTGCGTAAGTCCTTGCATTTATTGTCTCATTTCTACAGGACTGAATATTAGTTACATAACGTTTTGTAGTTTACAGAGTACTTTGCCATACAAAAGGCATACACAAAAAGCTTATTAACTTCTTAACTTGTTTTCCCCTTTAACCACAGTCTTTCATCAAAGCATGCTTGACTTCTCTTCCCAGTTTCACTCTGAATCATAGAGACACAAAAAAATCAGTACAAGTCACAAGTAAGAACCAAAAGTGCTCATGCCCTCATAGACCCTGATGGTGACTCTTTCTGTTCCCAGTCTGGAAGGGGAAAGACCCAAAAATACCACATGTCTCTGCTGAGATTAGGAACAAGTTAGGTATCTTCCTCCCCAAGTGATCAGGAGGCTCAGAGAGGGCGAGCAGGTCTGAAGATTCAGGGTAAATTGGTGACACTAATACACCAAGAGGCCAAAAGTGTGCTTTCCTGAAAGATAGCCAAGATTTGTGACCATTAAGATGGTTAAACAGAGCCTCACGTCGTGTTTTTTTTTCTTTTCTCTCACGTTGTGTTTTTATCCTTGCAACTAACTGAACACGAAGTCATGGCTGATTGTGATCTCCTCTAATTTGTAGGGCGTTCAGAAGAGCTATCCAGATGATTATCATGTAAAGCTAGGTTTGGGAATCACTGACCCAGTGTTTTACAACATTGGTTTTTTAACCTCATTTGCATGTTAGAATTATCTGAGACACTTGAAAATTTTTCTGTTTTAGGCCTCAGTATTTTTTAAAACTTTGGAAGGGAGTGAACCACTGCTGACAAGTAAAACCTGCAGGTCACAGATGTGTGTGATCAGAGGTGGAGGGGACCTCTTGTATAAGGCAGTGTTCTGCTTCAGCAGGAAAGGACACTGAGTGCATCGGCTTCTCTGCTTCTGACGACCCTTGGCTACTGAGACTCTGTGACCTGACTCCCCTATTTGTGTTTCACGTGAATATACCAAACATTTTATTTATATGAGCAAAACAAGTTCTATATAAGATGCTTTTCTGTTCCCCCATTCTACAAAATGACTTTTTACATTTTTGTTTGTATTTCATCTCCAGATCTGGGTTTCCACAAATCACACTCAGGTTCAGGACCCCGATCCTACATTAATCATATGAGCCTAATAGGTTGCTAAACAGATCAGATCCTTCCCCACCTCATAACAACTTTCCCTCCCAATTCAATTCCAACCCTCAAAATAAATTACCAGCTACTTTTTCCAGTAGGGTTTCTGGTAGGAGAGAAGTGACTACACTTTGTAATCAAACATGGCTTAGGTTTTCCTTTTCCTTGGGGTCATCGCCCTTTTTTTTTTTTTTTTTCATGCAAACTTAGATCCCCCAGGAGGAATCGAATCCTCCCTTCAGTGGAGGCTCACAGTCTTAACCACTGCACCGCCAGGGAAGTCCCTTCATCTCCCTTCTTCCTAGGCTGGTCTTGCCAGAAGTAGATGGGAACTCTGAAGCCTCATTTTCTTAAGTTGCTGAGAACTATCAGTCTTTCAGCTCTCAGACAGAGCTAGGCCTAATGATGAGCATTAAGGGTTGAATGCAGAAGTCTGTTTTTACCCTTAAGTGAGACCAACAGATGTATGTTACGTGGAGCAAAGGGATGCAAAAGTAAAATCATGTACGGGTGCTTTGGGGGCCTGGGGGAGAGATTCCTCATCAGCATACTGGCACATAAGCACACACCCCTGCCTCTCAAACACAGTGAGCTGTGAATCCTCCAGGCTCAAGAAGCTAGTCCTTCCACCATGCTGTGGGTCCACTCTCTCCTCTAGGTGGCTGTCCTCCCACTTCTGTCACTTCCCCACCTGTGTGCCTAACCTTTCTAGGGTCACGGTCCCTGAGAACCTGGTGGAGGTTGTGGATCCTCTTTAGGAGAAACTCAGATTGCACGCTCAGTTTTGTGTTCATTTGTGGAGGCATAGAAACTCCCTGAGGCTAATCCGAGGATCCTTTGGGGTCTCAAATCACACCTGGGGATGTACTATGAAATCACCCATACCTGCAGCAGAATGGTAACTTTATTTTTGACTGTGTGTGACTTACAGGGTCTTAGTTCCCTGACCAGGGAGTGAACACCAGCCCCTGCAGTGAAAGTGCTGAATCCTAACCACTGTGCTGCCAGAGAATTCCCAGTGACATTTTTCAAAATCAACATCAGACCACAGAATCTAGGGGTGTTGCCCAGGCACATAACCTTTTCAGTTTGCTCCTCCTGGATTTCTGCCCGCCCCCTCAGTAAATGGTGTCATCATCCAGCACCCGGACCGGAAACCCAGGAGCCATTTCTGGCTTCCAGTGTATCAGGCATTGATGACAAAAGTAGTTATTATGCACTCTCATTGTGACAGACATGGTGCTAGGTCCTGAGGTGCCAAACCAAGCAAGGCCTGCATTTCCCCTTTTTCATGTCTCTCACTGGAAAGCTGGATCCCTTAACATGATTTATATGCCAAGCTCTTCATCATCTCTTTCCAGCCTATTGGTTTCGTTTCTCATGCACCTTTACTGCGGCCTGGAGGCAACTAGCTCTCGTGGTGCCTGTGATCTCTCGCCACCACGCCCCACAGCCCCCTTCTGCTTTGCCTAATATTTGGTTTCTTTTAATATTTGGCTCAGGCCCATCTCTGGGAAACCTCTGACCTCCCCATGGCCAAGAAGTATATATACAAGTATAGAAGAGCATGATACTTGTATCCAGAGTTTTACTTGGGGCTTTAAAGTTAAAAACATGTGGATTCAAAATTGTGTATATAGTGCAGTTCTCGTAAAATGTTGTTACATACATTGTATACTCTTTAAAATATATAGATAAAATACATGAAGGAAATATTAAGAAAAAGTTATAAATGTTTAAGTGACTTTTTCGGAGCCATACAAATAATAAATTGCAGAGCTTGGGCTCACACCCAGGTCCTAGGGATAATGGAATTATAGGTGATTAAAATTTTTTTAAGTAATTTTCATATTTTTTATAAGGAACAAAAATTTTATAATCAGGAAAAATATTTATTATAATCACAAACTTAGTTTTATTTTATTAACTATAAACAGTATCTCTAATTCTCCATTTGGTA